TCGTGAGTTCGGTTCCCGGTACCGGAGAAAAACAAAACAAACAAACAAACAAACAAAATAAATAAATAAATAAATAAATAAATAAAAACTTAGACTAACAGCCTATGGTCATCGTCAAACATAAAGTTTAAAAATGCACATAAACAATTTAGAAAGATGAAAAATAAAAACCCATCACTGTGAGAAAAACACTCCCAGCTGATGAGCTCGAATCGGAAAATCTAAGCCCCAAATGTGCCAAGCCTGAGTTCAGAGCTCTTCTGACTCTGGGATCAAGACAGCTCCCATAGCAAAGGCTGCGCAAATGTTTCAAAATCCACAAAATTCCCCAACCCGAGATACTCCTGGTCACAGCGCTTAGGATGAGGGATACTCAGAGTGTCCTGTAACATTTTGGTGGCGCCTTGTTCTCTGAACACGTTTGCATCTAGAAGAAGTGGATTAGTATCGCCATGCTGTGTTAACACCTGCATTTACCTCTCCGCAGCACCTCCTCAGCAGGAGCGCTGTGAAGGCGATGAACTTCCCTTCAGGTAGCCCGTTCCTCACTTTGCATGATTTGTTAAATCCTCAGGGCAGATATTTGGTTATGGTCTGTTTTCAACAGTGTGAAAACTAGCAACCTTGTAGCTGTATCTTCCTAACTCTTCATGAGTATTTCCTCGGGGGTAAATACCCAGAAGGGGGGATGTCCGAAGGCGTGAACATTTTCAGAGTTGGGGAACTCTGCTGCTAGGCTAATTGTTAGAATGCGCTCCGCTGCTGTTGTCCACCAGCACCTGTAAATGCCACTTCCCACCATTTCTCCACTACTGGGTTTTACCATTCTTCTCTTAAAAAATTGTATTGATCTGAACAGTTGCCAAAGGGTGTTTTGTCATCTTAATGTACTTCAAGGAAATCTTTTACACCCTCTGGCTTCTACTTAATCTCTCTGGACTCAGCTTTTTATTTTTTTGGTTACTCATCGCCAAAGCAGTCACCTTTTACCGTAACTTCTGTCAACCTAATTTCTGAGCTCTGTGACCTTATTTGATGTCTCTCAGAAAGTGTTCTGGCAGGGGTGAGGTCTGGTCACGTGCCTTTTTGACTTTGTACCGATGAACCACCTAGGTCAAACCTCATCTTTATGATTTTATCTCCCTTTTTAGCTACAAAGTTTAGAGAAGCCAGGCATGTCTGTAGTCCCAGTTACTTGGGAGGCTGAGGCAGGAGGCTTGTTTGAGCCAAGGAGTTTAAGGTCAACCTGGGCAATTAGTAAGGCCCTGTCTCAAAAAACTTTGTTTGCAGAGAGAAGGCCTGCCCTCTCCACCCCACAAAACAGCAATGGGAATGGGTAAAAGGAGACAAGATAGATGAAGCTTTTATTTTTAACAGGAAAAAGGTGAAAAACACACAACAATAATAATTGCTATTACTACAGGTTGAATACCCCTCATCCAAAAATGCTCAAAACTGGAAGTGTTTCAGGTTTTGTAGTTTTTCAGATTTTGAATATTTGCATAGATTTTACTGTTCAGAATCTGAAAATCTCAAACTCAAGATTCTCCAGAATTATGAACTATTTTTTCATCATGTTCGTGCTCAAAAAGTTTCAGATTTTGGAGCATTTTGGACTTCAGATTTTTTGGATTAGAGACCCTTAACCTGTATACAGATTATGGATAGTTTCACCTCCTAAAATACAGTTTTGGTATGGATGCATGCTAAAATTGGAACATTGTCTTCTAGTTCTAAACTTAGAAACTGTGTGTGTGTGTGTGTGTGTGTGTGTGTGTAACAACACACTTTTGGTTCTGAGACTGAGCAACAGCATTTTGTGTGCTCCTGCACCACACAGGAACTGTAGATAAACAGAGGTTTCTGCTCTGTGGCTTCTTGGTCCCCCTGCCTGCAGGACACTGTGTCCTCCCTCTCACTCTGTGTCCCCACACAGTTTGGCTTGGTTGCTGGTGGACAGAGAGCTGCGGGATGGCGGGGGTTGGGTTTGTGGGGGCTTCCTTTGTGCAGCCTGGTTTGGGGAAGGACACCCAGGAGCAGCTCAGTAAATGTTTCTCGAATGAGTCAAGGTAAGGGAAGTAGGAATATTTTTACCCAACTCTGCAGAGAAAGGAATAGTCCCCAAAGGAATTATAGAAGTTCTAAAAAACAATCAGTCCAAGGGAGGTTTTTTGCTGGCAAATGGATCATTAATTGAGATTAATTTGGGTGGGTTTCACTTCTTATTGAGTAAATTCTGGTTGTGTGTGTGTGTGTGTGTGTGTGTGTGTGTGTTCGTATGGTGTTGAGAAAGAACCCAGGACCTTTGTCTGACCTGCTAGGCAAGTGCTCTGCCACTGGGCTACATCCCCAGCCCTTCTATTGAGTAAATTCTTAATGCTTTTAATGAATATTGTTAAGCAAATGAATGCAGTTCACAGGGAGATCCACAAAACAGAGACCACAGTCTGTGTAAGTATCAAGTCTCTTGGACTTGGCAAGAATCTGAGACTCTTTCAGGGCAGAGGGGCCAAAGACATGTACCAGCCTCACCCCGTGCTGGGGTGTAAATAATAATAGTAACAGCTAATATTTAAGGGAACACTTGCTGTTCTGGAATCTGGTTCTAAGAGCCTCACGCTTACTCTGGAAGTCGTCATTATTATCTTAATTTATTGATTAGAAGCACAAGGACAGGAGCACTGACCTTCCTAAGTCACATAGCAGTTATCCCAGGGCTGGGATCCTGGTGGGGACAGCCCAGGGGTCGTGGTGGGGTCGCTCGGGCTGCACATGAACTGTTCTGTATTTCTCATGTTTGTTATCGCTTATTTTTCTCAAAAGCTTGTACTTTTGAGGTTGGTACAACTTGGGCATCACTCATCTGAAAATCCAAAATCCAAACCACTTTGGGCACAAGTATAATGGCACACCTGGGAAGTTCCACACCTGGAAACTTTGTCTCATGCACGACATTATTACAAATATTGCCTCAGACTCCACGTATAAGGAATAGATGAAGCAGAAATGAATTTAGTATTTAGAGTGGTACCCAGCTCCAAGATATCTGCCTTGTATATGCAAATTTTCCAAATCTGCCAAAATCCCAAATCCAAAATGCATCTGATCTCAAGCATTTCAGATAAAGGGTATTAAACCTGCATCATTATTCCAGGTCTAGGGCCAGATGTGCCAAGACTCTGAGAAGTTCAGTAAGGACCAGGATGGCAGCCAGCGACACGATCCGTCACCCACACCGGGTCCGTTCCGGGGCTCAGCCCAGGTGCCACACTGGCCGGAAAGTCAGATTCTGATGCCCTTGGTTCCCCCACCGGGCTTGCTGAGAGTCGGGTTCTGCAGCATTTGGAGGTGTGGAGTCCGGAATCAGTCTGGTTGCCACCTCACTGGAGCTGAGGTGGGGCTCAGCCTCAACCTCTCGAGATCCACTGGGCCAA